ATAGTCAATGAAACAGATCCAATCATCAAAAATAGATCAATGGAAAAGAATAGGGAGCCCAGAAATAAGCCCATGCGTATATGGTCAATTAATTTTTGATAAAGGAGCCAAGAACACACAATTGGGAAAGAATAGTTTCTTCAATAAATGTTGTTGACAAAACTGGATATCCACATGTAAAAGAATGAAATTGGATCCCTATATTACGCTGTACACACACGCAAAAATAATACTCGAGATGGACTAAAGTCTTAAATGTAAGACCCGAAACTGAAATACTCCTAGAAAAAAAAAGAAAAAATCAAAAACCATAAGGGAATACTTCTTGACATTGGTCTTGCGATAATTTTTTTGGGTGTGATAAAAACACAGACAATAAAGCAAAAATAAACAAATGGGATGATACCAAAGTAAAAAGCTTCTGTATAGCCAAGGAAATAATCAACAAAATGAAAATGCAACCTATAGAATGGGAGAGAATATTTGCACGCACTATATATTTAATAAGGGCTGTATATCTAAAATATATAAGGAACTTATATAATTTAATAGCAACACACACACACACACACAAATAGTCCAACTAATAATGGTCAAAGGGACTAAATAGACATTTCTCCAAAAATGATATGCAAATAATCAACAGATACATTAAAGGTGCTTAACATTACTAATCATCATGGAATACAAAGCAAAACCACAATGAAATATCACCTCACACCTGTTATTATGTCTATTTTCAAACAGATAACAAGTGCCCGCAAGGATATGAAGCAAAGGTAACATTTGTGCAGTGGTGGTGGGAATGTAAACTGGCACAACCATTACGGTAAACGATATGGAGGTTCCTCAAAAAATTAAAAATAGAATTATATGTTCCAGATATGCCACTTGTAGGTATATATATTTTATATATATATATATATATATATATATATATATATATATATATATATATAATATAATATACATATACATATACATATAGGGCCGGCCGAGTGGCGCGATGGTTAGGAACTGGCTTCAGACGCCAGAGAGCCCGGGTTCGGATCCCACATATGAGGGCCAGTGACACTGCCCTCCACAGCTAAGATGCTGAACAACAGCTCAACCTGGAGCTGGGCTGCCGTGAGTCGCTGGCGACGACGGCATAGACTGCAGCCCCTGTGGCAGTGGGTTGCCATGAGCTACCGTATGTAGCCAGCAGCCAGCATGAGCGGCCAGCAGCCGCAGTGAGTGGCCACCCAGAAGCCGGCGACTGATCTGCCTCACCGGGGAAGAGTGCAATGATGGTGCCAACTTGGGCCAGTGAAGCAACGTCCTCCACAACTAGACTGAAGAACAAAACGACAGCAACTTGTCTGTTCCCCTTCCCCCAATTCCCCAGCACTGTTCCCATCCCTCCAATTCCCCAATAAAAATCTTAAAATATATATATATATATATATATATATATATATATATATATATGTATGTATGTATGTATGTATGTATGTGTATATATATACACACACACAAAAGAAATGAAATTAGTATCTAGAAGAGATGCCTGCACCCTCATGTTCATTGCAGCATTATACTCAGTTGCTGAAGTATGAAACCAACCTAAGCGTTGAAAGACTGAAGACTAGACAAAGAAAATTGATATATATGTACAATGGAATATTATTCAGCCTTAAAAAAAGGATAGCATACTATTTGCCACAGCATAGGTGAACTTTGAGCACACTGTGATGAAGTCCAATACTGCAACAAACCAGACCAAGAAAGACAGATATTGGTTATATTTGGAATCTTAAAGAAAGAAGTCAAATTTATAGAAACAGAGTAAAATTGTGGTTGCCAGGGATTGGGGGCTGAAGGAAATGGGAGGTGTTGGTTAAAGAGCACAAGCCTTCAATTACAAGTTGAATAAGTTCTGAGAATCTGATGTATAGTGTGATGACTATAGTTAATATACCACATTATATACTTGAAATTTGCTAAGAGAGATTTTAAATGTTTTCAGCACATACACACATATACACACAAAGGTAACTGGGTGAGGTGATGGATTATTAATTAATTTGTGATAATCATTTCACAATGTACTTATATATCAAATCATCATATTGTATGCTTTAAATATCAACAATTTCAATTGTCAATTATACCTCAAAAAACTTCCCCCACAAAAACTAGCCAGGATAGAAACCAGGCTACCAGTCTTATTCAGGATAAAAAAATTAGAATTATTTAACCAGCTCTTCCTAAAATGTATATAGCACTGATGATTGGAAAACTAGATATTAAAAAAAGAAAGGAATAGAATTAGCCTTAAAAAGAAAACAACTGACACATTGTTTATTATTGTGTTCTCCTTTCAAGCTGTGTCAATAGACTTACTTTTGTTTTCAGTAATGCCTTCAGTAATACCATTGTATGTTTTGTTTTGTTTTAAATTGTTTGTATTTTTATTCCTTTTTTGTATGTGTTTCACTTTAGGTTTATTGAATAAACAGGGTCCTAAAAGAAACAAGTATGTGTGAGAAAAATAATGTGATGCGCAAAAATAACAATAATATGAAAATATCCATGTAGGTAATAGTTTGGACTGCAGAAAAATCCTCATAAGAATATATGTGTGTGTGTGTGTGTGTGTGTGTGTGTATATATATATCTATATAGATATATAGATATATAGATATATAGATATATATCTATATAGATATATAGATATATATCTATATAGATATAGATATAGATATATAGATATATAGATATATTTTTTTTCCGAAAAAAAGAAGCTGATCCTTTGGCCTTCTAGCCCAAAATGAAACAAAACAAAACTTTATTGGATTGTTATTTTATTTTATTTTTAATTTCCTATGTCTGATTCTACTCCAGGTTCTACACATATTTTTAACTAGTTTTTCTGGCTTCTAGGATAACATAAGCAAACATAGATATTGGGTTGTTGGAAAAGTCATGACGTATTTTGTCTATGTTTTTCAAAGGTCATTTATTTATATAAAGAACAAAGATCAATCAATGATATATTGCCCATTTTGCTCGATATCCTTTTGCCATCTTTCAGTGAGCTTCATAATTCCTCGTTCATAGAAGGACCTGTCTTTATTTGCAATAAACTGAACAAGGTGCTGATTTACAGTTTCATTTCAATTGAATGTTCTACCACCCAAGGAGTTTTGAGGAGAGGGAAACAAGTGGAAGTCTGACTGTGCAAGTTCAGGCGAGTATGTTGGGTGTGGCAACACATCCCATTCAAGCTCCAATAATTTTTGATGGGTGATCATACTTGTGTGTGGTTTGGCATTGTTGCGATGGAACACAACTCCTTTACAATTAACAAGCTGTGGACGTTTCTGGATGATGGATTTGTTTAAACTGTCCAATTGCTGAGAGTACACATTCAAATTGATTGTTTGGTTCCTTGGTAGGATCCTGAAAAACACGACACCTTTAAAATCCCACCACACTGAGAGCATAATCTTCCTCTGATGAATGTCTGCTTTAGATGTCGTTTGAGACAAATCATCATGTTGGGACCAAGACCGTTTGTGCACCACATTGTTGTAAACAATCCACTTCTCATCACCAGTTATCAGTTATTTTTTAAAAAAAGGATCATGTTCTTCATGTTTAATGAGCAATTTTTTTTTTAAGCTGAGCTATCCTGCCAACTGTTGGTAGGTCAGCGGCAGTGGCAGCTCAGCTTGGGCTGGGAATTGAACTGGCGACCCTTTTGCTCAGAGCTCGCATTCTTGAGCGGGCTCTTAACCAACTGAGCCACTTGACTGGCCCTTAATTAGCATATTGCCGATGTTTATACGCGCCGTCAAATGAACTTCTTTGAGTTCATGTGGAACCCAAATATTGAGCTTGTTTGCATATCCCAGCTTCTTCAGGTGGTTGTGAATACTTGAATGATGGATATTCAATGTTTCTGCAATCTCTCGTGTCGTGTAATGTGGGTTTGACTCAATTAATGCCTTCATTTTGTCGTCACCAACCTCAGTGGGCCTCCCTGACCGAGGAGCATCCTTGAGATCAAAATTACCAGCACAGAATTTCGTGAACAATCATTGGCACTGACATTCTTGGAGAGCATTGTCACCATAAACTTTTTGCAACTTTTCACAAGCTTGATGTGCGTTCTTCCCTTTATGGAAGTAAAACAGTAAAACCTGGCAAAAATGCACAATTTGGGGTTCCATCTTCAACTTGTAAAATCTCCAAAATTCAACCAAATTGCTCATTTTTTTTTAGAATGAAGCTAAAACTGTCAGCTGTCAAATGACATAGCAATTACATAGATGTGAATGACTCTAGTACTTCCAAAAATGTACTAGTGCCATCTGTTGTAAACATGCGTCATGACTTTTACAACAACCCACTGTGGATTATGGAAAAGGTATAGGAAAAATATATGTAGACCAGTAAGCATACAAAAATTAATTTCCTATTGGTTTGACAACCTGTGATGGGTTTTACCATGACATACTGATTTTATTGCATGTCATTGTGGTCATAGCATGTATTCGACATGTAATTTGTATCAAAAAGACTCCCGTCTTATCATTTTACATAGCAACAGCTATCTATTAATCACATAGCTTTACATGGAATCATGGTAACTATAATACAGAACCATCTCAGCAGCATGACTCTTAGTTTGGGAACTGAGTTTTAAGTGTATTGTGTTGATGTTTATAGAAGAATCAGAACTAATAAAATAAGTATTTGGCATTAATTACACTCTTCTCTTTAGTCCCATAGTGCTTTATTCTTAATTTAAGAACTTAATTCATTCTGTTTTGATTTAGCGCAATTTCTATTCAAGCTCATCACCTCTACCTATGAGTTTCTTTTGTAGTATCCTGTCTCCTTCACCTTTTATATCCCATAGCTATTAATAATTGTTCATGTATTGAACAGTCACAATTCAAAAGAATAAAGATTTTCTTTTTTTTAGAGTGTGCTTTTTACATTTCTTTCAGAGACTTGGTACAACTGTACAAAAGTGAAGATGACTTGGAGATTTCAAAGGCGATTGAGACTCAGTGGACATCTTTGGGTCTAGAAGACGTACAGTTTGTAAATTACTCAGTGCTGCTTAATCTGCCAGGCCCTTCTCCCAGCTCTGTGACTCTCAGCAGCAGTGGCCAGTGCTTTCATCCTAATGGCCAGCCTTGCAGTGAAGCCAGAAAGCATAGCAGCCAAGATCTGCTCTACTCATACGCAGCCTATTCTGCCAAAGGAACTCTCGAGGTAATATGACCATTTGTCTCTGTCATTTACAGTGAAATGGAATTAGAAAACAACAGCTTTCATCTAAATTGAACTAACTGGCAAGATGCAACACATACAGGTCACCATTAAATGTTCTCAGTGTGGAAGTGCCAGGAGAGGAAGGGAGATTTGGATCCCCTGACCCTTTCCTCGTCATATTTTGAAAGTGAAAACATGTTAGAAGAATTTAATTCAAAAGTGTTGAATGTGTGACTGAGTCATTCACATTTTGCTTAGTTCATATAGTGCATGTTCATTTCATTCTTTGGTTTTGAAAAGGCCCATTTTAATACGTAGATTGATATGGACAGAAATAGAAATGGAGATGGTTGTGTTTTGAAGCTGTGCACACATGCAAGAAATAGAGTGGGAAATTGATGTGATTATTCACACATTTAAGATTTGAACTATAGTGCTGCCGCTGTCTTAATGGAAAACACATGAGCTAGGGCCCAGGTGTGGATTATTGCTTTACTATTTTCTGGGTTGTTCTTTTTAAGGTGTGGTGTTTTGGGTTGTTTTTTAGTTTGTTTGTTTTGATTTTTTGTTTTTGTTTTTTTTTGGCATTGTGGTTAAGTGCATGGCTTACCCATTGTTACTTACCCATTTAGTGCTAAGTTTCCTCATCTCTGTAATGTGGATAGTAATAGTTCCAACATGATAAGGTTGTTGTGAGAGTTGAATTAATTAATATATGTATATTTGGGAGTACAAAGCATAGCCCTTGGTAAGGTCAGTCCCAGTTACTGTAGATACAATATATAATTGGCCACTGGTTTTTTTACATAGCAAGTTATTTATTTAAAGTATCAATTTAATAAGCAGTTTTGGTCTTCTATAAGACTGTAGATTACCTCATTTAATACAAATGAGATAATGTTATGCTTCTGATTGTTGTTAATTACTGGCACAGATTTGTAAGAATCTAACTTCTTATTAACTCTGATTAATATATTAAATATTTAAAACATTTAAAGTTACTTTGCAGAAATACATGCTTATTCCTAATATATACAGAGGGTGCCACTATTTTGGGGGGTATGAGGTGTGGAGAGGCAATTTATGGGTGGTTCAGCATAATTTGTGCTCTGTGGTTGTATTATTCTCTGATTTAGCAAAAGTCCTACATACCAACAGCACCACCTTGAAAAGCCTATCACTAATTAAAAGTTAATATAATATTAAATATCTGCAGTATTTCTAATATAGGACTCTTATAATTTGATTTGATTAATATATACTATTTATGGTAGACAATAAAGGAAATACACCCATGTATTAATAAAAATAGAGGGAAGAAACTGCATGCTTTCTTTTATTCAGAAGCTTTGGTCTCAAGTCAAGGTTCTGAAGTTACCCAACCTATATTCTCTGAAAGTCCCAACCCTGCGGAAGCCCACATATGTCCAGCCTTCTCTGATTCCAGTTGATTGAAGTCCAGCACAGCCATCTCCTCCACTACACAGAAGTATGTCCAAAGCACAAAACAACAAAAATTCCCAGAGCTTGAGTGGGTTCTTGGAACCACCCTCATTTATTTGGTTTTCAAATTTCTGTGATGAAAATTCATGATTCCTTAATTAAGGTGATATGGAAAACCCGTGACACTACAACTTGCTTCCCTGTTTCATCAGTGTGACCCTCTTTAATAATCTGCTGGGCCCATTGAATTTTTTTTTTAATGTGCCTATGTGACCATACCTCTGAGAGTTTCCTACACATTTATCTTTATCAGTTATAACTGTTTAAATTTTCTTTGTTTCATCTAAAAGAAAGCCAAGGTCTACTACTGAATCATAAAATTACCTTATTGTCCATGAAGTGATAATTCATTTGAGATCCTGCTACCATTTATAAATGCTATAAAACTACTCTTTTAAATAAATAAGTGTTAAAACAGACTTAAAGCATAGCTATGAAACAAGAGAATTAAAGTTAGCTGTAGATGTAGAAATATACTCCATATTTGAAATATTAGGTCTAAATAACAAGGGCAATGTTAAAGGAGCTAAACTGCAGTTATGGATAAAACAAACTCCTGTATCTGAAGCATATAACTTGAGAAGTTAACAAGGCAAATTTGATGAAGACATTGACAATAGCTATTTTTAGAATTATATTTATAATTTAAATTTATTATGATAATTACATATTAATTTGAATATCTATTCAATATTAATATATAATAAGTTATTGATATTGATTTTTAAACCCTAGTTATAATAGTATTATTGATTTTCAAAAGCAAATTATAGGTGACTATCATATGCATATAGAATAATTGAACATATTTTATATACATGTTTTAGACAGATGTATTATTGAAACTCACATATTCTAATTAATAGGATACTGGTGATTTTTCTGTATCCATTCAGATCATTCCCTAATTCAAATCAAGCTGGAGAGGGTGCTGCTGCTGATTCAGGCATACCTAATTTTTTATTTTGAGTACATTGTGTTTGCATGAATTTCTATCAGGCAAAGCCATTAACAAGTCCTTAAATTATTCCAGCCTGACTGCCAGCAAAGTGCCCCTCTACTTTTGCTTTTGACAAGGTTATTTGTAGAAGAGGAGTGCCCCTTTTCTTTTAAGAGCTGTCATGTCCATTCATCATATGACCGTTTTGTATAAGCTTCCAATTTTTGCTTTCTGGTAACAGTCTAAGCAGCATTTGTGATATCTGAGATCTACTTTGAAAACCTACTTAGTGCCAGCTTGATGGATGGTGTACTTTGCAACTTCTTTGTAATTCACTGTGCACTGGAAAGGTGACATTGTTTACCCCATCATAATGACAGTTGGGTCAGTAAAAGGGTCCTAGGGAGAGTTGTCCTGTCAGATGCACAATACATATTAAAATGGATACATAAATATTTTAGTATGAGTGAGGTTAGCTTTGGGGAATAAACAGTAATTTATATTTTTATTAAAAGGTAACTATCAACTATAATATCATCATAATGTTAAAGACATTGGTACTGGGTGCTGACAATGTCGAGTCAGTTTTGTTTTGTTTTGTTTTTTTTCCTAGTCAGTTTTATAAATAGACTATATGGCTTTATGTAATCCTTGTTCTGTTATTTCTTTTGTCCTTTGTGAAATCCAGACAGATGCAGAAACACAAAGGGAGCAATTGATATTTAATATAGGTTTGGTCAGATTGGGTTATTTATGTTAATATTTTTGAACAGGGGATGTGTTTTTATTCCTATACTTTTTATGGATTTTAGAGTTTTCTTTCTGTTAAGAATTATTTAGTGCCTTAATGACAAGCAAAATAATGTGATTTTATGGAGAAATTTGTTTGCACCAACTCATTAACTGTAGATAAAATATTGTTATCAACACGTTTATCACCACTCCTTTCCTCAGAGAGCGGAGACTAGCGCCTTCCTTATCAGTTGCAACTGTGGATTGGTCACTTCAGTTCTGTAAGCCTGTATGTTCTTATTTGTGTTAGAAGAATAATAATAGTACCTCAAATGGTTGTCATGGGGAAGAAATGATATAAACCATGTAAAGTGCCTGGCACTTAGAAAGCACTCAATAAATGTTAGCTATTGTCATTGTTATTATTTGGTGTAAAATAGACACATTTAAATGGGAGAAATTAAGAAAATATCAGAGCTATATATCATAAGATTTGGAATTACAAACGTTTACTTTATTGTTGGAATATAATCCTCCTGTCTTCTAACATGGCAAATATTAATCACTGGAGAGGAAAATGCCTTGATAAGTATGAATAAATAATAAACTATATATAACTCCCTATCATATTTTAATTGAAAACTGAAAGCTCAACGAAACTAGGAATGAACTATTTTATTTTTCATTGCAGAATGACAAATTGCATCATGTTGGACCTCAAGAGCACTGTCTTTTTTTTTTTTGTAAAATATCAAGATGCAGTTTAACATATGAAATCTGAAACTGTATCAAATATTATGTTTACAACATCTTAAAGAGAAAAAACTATAACTACTGCATATTATCTTTGAATAACAACATCAAATGTCTATTTTCTTATGGCTCGGAAAACTTTGTGCTTCCTTTAATTTTAATATTCTCAAACAAAAGCAGATTTACCAGTGTTAGGGCAAAGGGACAGCTATATGCATTTGGCTCTGAAGGATTCCTGTTATTGATAAAAATATCAGAAAGCTAAAGGGGTGGAATGGAATTGCATTATCGTCGGGGTATGAAGATGAAGCTACTGTCTCATCAACAGAGAAATGAGAGCTTGGAGCAGTTTTTCAGTGTTGAAAATAACTTTGCATTTTATTTGTCTCCTTTTTTTTCCTTTCGGGATCCATCTTTTCATCAACACTGAACAATTGTGAGGTAAATGGCTATGGACAGTTGTATATAAACTTATTTTTTTTAATTACATAAAATCCCTTTGCCCAATATGACTTTCTATTTTTGATTTCATCAACTCTGTGCACTAACTGTATTAACAAAACAATTCCATATTTCTGCTTTTTTTTGAGGATAATATTCATAGGAGACTATATATATATATATATATATATATATATATATATATATATATATATATATATATATATATATTCCTGTATTTAAAATTTAGACAGAAGCATTTTCAAATAAAGAGGTAATCTATTACAACATGTTGTCCATAGTTAAAGATTTGTTAGAGAGATTACATCTTCTACCTGGGAAAGAGAAAAAAAGCTTATTTTATAAAATAAAAGTTTTAAAATAAGCATAGATAAATTCAACTAAGTGGGTAAAGTGCAATGGACCTTTTTTCCCTCTCCATTTAGAAAACACATAGCGTTTTTAGTGAGAAAGTGTTTAACTGTAGACTTCTAATTTGACTAAAATTATTTGTAAAGTTTCTGGGTTGACATAATTACATGTTATTTGACAGAAAATTCTGTGTCAGCCCTTTTATTTTTACATTTGTTATGATTTAAGGCATACCACTTATAAAGTTAAGTGGTAATGC